TGGGATGGGTGGAGCAGGATGGGGTGGGATTCTGGTGCAGTTCCTCCTCTCTGTGGGCTCTGCAGCCGGATCCATCCTGTGGGATGGGCACAGGGACATGGTGGCTCTGTGCCTCGCTTTCATCCTGGCAGGAATCACACCCTGAGCGATCCCCGGTTAAGATTCCAGAGGTGCCAAAAATAAAAGCCATCCCTGGTGTCACTCCGGTTCTCCAGGGGTGTTTCTCTTTCATCTCATCCAAGGGATCTCTCAGGAAAAGAACCTATTGCGGTGCCTCCACGTGTCATGACACGGGCTCTGACAGCGTGGAGAACTGGGGGGACATGGAGGTTGGGGGGTCTGGCAGGATGCTCTGCCCGGATAAAGCCTAAAATCTGGTCAGAGAACCCAAACAACCCAAGCTGTTTGTGCTGAGCTACCACTGGTGCCAAGGGGCTGCTTTTAGTGTTGGATTGTGCTAAAACCAGCCTGGTTCACCCACTGCAAACACAACCCCTGCTTTTGGAAGCAGGATTTGACTGATAAGCTGCTGGCTGGCCTGGAGAAATGGGACTGGCAGTCAAACTCTTTATAACTATAAAAGCCCAGTCCAACTTTCACGTGGCAGATTCTTCCACAGGCTTTCCTGGAGTATGTAGAGCTTGTCCCGCTTGTCCCATGGAGCAGGGAGGCCTCTTCATGGTTACTCAGGGGTTAAGTTGCACACGGAGTTACATCAGTCTCCACTAATGACTGTTTCTTTTTGCCAGCTTTGATACAATTTGGTACAATTGCTTTGGTAGAATTGCTTTGATACAAAGCACTATTTTATGCTATATTGTACTCTACTGGTAGGTTTGTAGCATTTATACTGTGTAGTAAATTATTCTAGTTAAGATCTTTCCTCTGTTCACTTGTCTGTTCACTTGTCTGTTCATTTGTCATAAATAATAAATAACTTTATATAAATATATCTGATTTGCCATCATTAAAAGCTGATTCAATCACATCTCTGTCTTTCCTTAAATCCTTTGTTAACGTAATCCGAGGCTGAGATTGGATCCAGCCGCCCCCAGGCTCCTGTCTGAGCAGGAGTTTAGAAAGCCAGGGAGTCCTTTCTGTGCCTCGGGACTCAACAGCAGGACTTCTCTAGTGAACTTTATCTCAAAGCCTTCCACTCCCACCCACAACAATTTGGTGGCAAATGATTTTGAGAAACAGACAAAAGGCTTAACAGAATATTTATGGAGGCAGAGTCACACATTAACACTGATGATTGTTGGCCAGTGGATAACTGGTAGGAGTGGGAAAATATGCAAGAAAAATGTGGAAAATATATTTAGTGGGGTGAGGAAATGAAATCAAAAGAGATGTAATGCATAATGAAAGTTTACGAGATCCACAGGCCCTGAGGAGACTGGTCCCTATGTGGGCAGAACTCCTGCATGACATGGTAAACCATGCAAGGCACACGGGCTGGGAAAATCATGCTGTGGAACACACAGGAGCCGAAAAACTGAACTGCGAGAACCTCCTGAAAGACAGGGGAGGACTGTAAAGCATAACCCACCCGAGAGAAGAGAAAAATCAAACCCCTCTGTTCACTCACGAGAACAACGGAACAAACTGCAGAAGAGAAATTAGGCAAAAGCACAATTTGAACTTCATCTGGCCACTTCTGTAAAGGATAATAAAAGTGGTTTTATAAATACATCAATAGCAAAAGGAGATGCAAAGAAAACCTCCGTTCTTTGTTGGACATGGGGTTTGGAGGAACATAATTACCAAAGATGAGGAAAAGGCTGAGGTACCTAACACCTTCTTGGCCTCAGTTTTCAACAGTAAGACAGGTTGTCCTCAGGACAAGTGGCCTCCGGAGCTGGTAGACAGAGACAGGAGGCTGAACAGCCCCCCTGGAATCCAGGAGGGAACAGTTAGTGACCTGCTGAGCCACTTGGATCCTCACAAGTCTATGGGACCAGATGGGATCCACCCAAGGGTGATGAGGGAGCTGGCAGAAGAGCTCGCCAAGTCTCTCCATCATTTCCCAACAGCCCTGGCTCACTGGGGAGGTCCCAGATGATTGGAAGTTGGCAAATGTCACACCCATCCACAAAAAGGGCTGCAAGGAGGACCCAGGAAACTCCAGGCCTGTCAGCCTGACCTCAGTGCCTGGCAAGGTTATGGAGCAGATCATCCTAAGAGCAGTCCCACAGCACCTACAGGATGGACAAGGGATCAGACCCAGCCAGCACGGGTTTAGGAGGGGCAGATCCTGTCTGACCAACCTGATCTTTTACGATCAGGTGACCTGCCTGGTGGATGAGGGGAAGGTGTTGATGTGTCTGTCTGGACTTCAGCAAAGCCTTGGACGCCATCTCCCATGGCACACTCCTGGAAAAGGCTTGGACAGGGGCACTCTGTGCTGGGTTAAGGGCCCAGAGAGTGGTGGGGAACGGTGCTGCATCCCGTTGGGATCCGGTCACTAGTGGTGTCCCCTAGGGATCAGTGTTGGGCCCAGTTCTGTTTAATATCTTTAATGATGATTTAGATGAGGGGATTGAGTCCACCATTAGCAAATGTGCAGCTGACACCAAGCTGGGGGGTGTGTTGATGTGCTGGAAGGCAGGAGGGCTCTGCAGAGGAACCTGGACAAGCTGGAGAGTTGGTTTGATTCCAAGGGGATGAGGTTCAAGCAGGCCAAGGGCCGGGTCCTGCCCTTTGGCCACAAGAAGCCCCAGCAGCCCCCCGGGCTGGGGCCAGAGTGGCTGGAGAGCAGCCAGGCAGAAAGGGAGCTGGGAATGTGGATGGACAGGAAGCTGAACAGGAAACAGTGTGCCCAGGTGGCCAAGAGGGCCAATGGATCGTGGCCTGGCTCCACAGGGCTGACACTGGGTTTGGAGACATAACAGATCTAGTAATGTCTCCAAAGCAATGCAGCAGAATATGCCATAGAAAATTTCTGTGTAACCAAGCTGCCATGCAAAGAAACCAGCCAAGCAAAGAAATAATAAAGGAAGGAACTTGTGGTTAACAGAAGCAGCAAAGCAGGCAAAGGTGGGGTGTTACAAAGAATCACAGAATGTGCTGAGTTGGAAGGAACCCATGAGGATCACTGAGTCCAACCCCTGGCCCCTGTGACCATCCCCGAGAGTCACACCATGTGCCTGAGAGGATCATCCAAACACTCCTTGAGCTCTGTCAGCCTTGGTGCTGTGCCCACTGCCCTGGGGAACCTGTTCAGTGCCCAACCACCCTCTGGGGGAACAACCTCTTTCTAATATCCAACCTAAGCCTCTCGTGACCCAACTTTAGGCCATTCTCTGGGGTCCTGTCCCTGGTCCCCCCAGAGCAGAGCTCAGGGCCTGCCCCTCCTCTGCCCTTCCCCAGGAAGTTGGAACTGCAGTGAGGTCTCCCCTCAGTCTCCTCCAGCTGAGCACACCAAGTGCCTGGTACAGACCATTCAGAGGCTGTAACGAGGTTCTTTTAGATGATTACTTCGAAGGTGAGATTAAGGCACAAAACTCCAAATGTTAGGTCTCAAACAGACAATTAACTTTATTTGTAACAATAAGTAATGGTAACAGTGGGGGGGGGGAGAAGAAGAGGAAGAGATAAGGACAAGAGAAGGCTACAAAAGGAAAGTGCAAAAAGGTTCCCACCACCAGTGAGAGAATCGGGTGTAGTCAGCCTCAGGCAGTCAGGGAAGGACTGCTGGAGAGAAGCAGGTGGTGAGCAGACTGGATCCAAGACAAACAGGTGACGCAGGCAGGTGGGACAGGAGCAGGACGGAGGCAGGCGAGACGGAGGCAAGCAGGACGGAGCGAGGAGTGGGGCCAGCAGCCAGCACGGGACCCTGGGCAACACCGACTGGACTGGACAGGACCACAATGCTGGGCACTGCCTTAAATACCCCTCGGTGGGCGCTCCCTGGCCAGCTTGGCTCCGGGCAGATCCTTCCACGGTGTCGATTGGTGAAGCTGACGGTATCCGGTATCCCAGGCAGGCTGGCTCTGCCAAGGTGGGAAAATGTAGCAACTTTCTGTTGGAGACTCTCCAGGGGTTCCAGCGAGCAGTCCCAAATGTCCCCCTAGGTCGATGAAGGCAGCCCTGCTAAAGGCTAAAGTCGGTGTCCACCACTTTGTTCAGTCACTGGGCTCTGGGGGGCTCCTGGTAGCCTGCAAAACTTAGTTTGACATGGAAATAGCCTCGTTAGTGTGAAGTGGTTAAATACCGCTTGTGCAACTTTAAAGGGCTTTGAAGAAGTCTTGCCCAAGGCGCTTAATTGCCTTAACACCTCTCACGCCTCTGCAGAGAGGCCAATTACCAATTGTTCATTACACTGGTCAATGTAAAAACAAAGAAGTGAGTCAGAGATGGAACAATCTCTTACAGAGCCTCAGGAGCAGCAGTTGCAGGGCAGCAGGGACCCGACCTGAGCTGCTTTTGGTGCCCAGGAACTCCCCCCACACAGCCCCTCTCCTGCCCGAGGGACCACCAGAACAGGGGGAGCCCAAAGGCATGGACTGGAGGAATTCAACAGGCATTTTGGGGCCATTTTATGGACATTTTGCAGGGGTGGTGCATAGACTAAAGGAACAAGACCTGTGTGTTACACAAAGAATGGGAAGTGGGTGGTGGGGGGTGAAGTTGTATTGAGTTGTGTAGAGCCTGGGCATGATGGGACTGGTGTGGAATAAGGGCCAGAATGTGCTGGTTTGCGTGGGGTGGAGTTAATTTTCTTTGCAGAGGCTGGAGTGGGACTGTGTTTGGGCGTGTGCTGAACACGGCTGAGAATAGAGAGAAGGTTTTGTTAGTGCTGAGCTCACCCAGAGCCAAGGCCTTTCCTGCCCCTTGTATGGACACGCTGGGGAGGGGCTGGGGGTGTGTGGGAGGTTGACAGGGGACACAGCCAGGACAGGTGACTCCAACTGCCCCAAGGGATATTCCAGACCATGTGACATCATGCTCAGGATATAAAGTGGGGGAGAGGAGGAGGAAGGGGGGACATTTGGAGTGATGGAGTTTGTTTTCCCAAGTCACCATTCTGTGGGATGGCATCTTGTTCTCCTGGAGGTGCTGAACACCTGCTGCCCATGGGAAGCAGGGGATTAATTCCCTGTTTTGCTTTGCTTGTGTGTGCAGCTTTTGCTTGTCCTTTTTAAACTCTCTTTATCTCATCCCCTCCCAGTTTTCCCCAGTCCTGCTGGTGGGTGAGTGAGGAGTGGCTGGGGGGGACTTGGGGCTGGATGGGGTGAAACCACAAGAGCCTTTGTTGGTGTCCAAGGTGGGGCTGGGAGCATTGGAGATACTGACAGGTGGGATTGGGATGTGCTGCTGGAATTTACAGCTGCTGGTGCTGTCTGGGGCTCCTGGCTGTGTGTCAGAGTCTGGTGCTCCTTAGTGGCTGTTTGTTGCTGTCCCTGCTGCTGAGCTGCTCAGCTCCGATCACCTCACTGTGCTGTGCCTGGGAATGCAGGACAACAGCTCTGGTGATGTGCCCGGGCTGGCAGGAGGCCCGGGAATTGCTGCTGCACTGGACAGGCTGGAACTCCGTGTGAACTTGAGCTGAAGGGCCTGTGACCTGTGGACGAGTCCAGGATGGAGCAGAGACCCCCCTGCAGCCCAGGGAGGAGCCCACGCCAGAGCAGGGGGTGCCCAAAGGAGGCCGAGAGCCCGTGGGAAGCCCCTGCAGAGCCGCGGAGAGAGGAGCCCACGCCAGAGCAGGGGGTGCCCAAAGGAGGCCGAGAGCCCGTGGGAAGCCCCTGCAGAGCCGCGGAGAGAGGAGCCCACGCGGAGCAGGCTCCTGCAGGACTTGTGACCCCGTGGGGACCCACGGTGGAGCAGCCTGTTCCCGAGGGACTGTCTCCCGTGCGAAGTACCCCACGCCTGACGAAGCAGACACGGACTCCATTCCCTGAGCGGGAAGCAGCGGTAGGACCCCCATCCCCCTGTGCCGCGGAGCGGAGGGAG